GAAAGAAAGAAAGAAAGAAAGAAAGAAAGAAAGAAAGAAAAACATTTAGGTAGCCCTGGAAATACAACTTTTGCTAGTCCAAACTGGAGGAGGTATTTGGTCTCCGGGCATGTTGGCTAAAGCCTATGAAGAAAAATGTATAAAAACCTGGTCCTGGGAATACCTCAGTGCCAAGGGCTGCCACATGTGGGTATGGGGACCAAAGGGCATCGGTCTGGCACGGCAAACAGTGTGCTGGGGGAGCTGAGCGCATCCAGCAGTGTTTGTACAAGGTGGAACACGCCTGGCAGGAGCCGACCAGCTGGCTCAGCCCAGCTCAGCGGCTCAGCTGCGTTGCCAGCTGGCAGGCAGGGTCACCACGATGCCACTTACTTTCTTCTTCTACTTCAGTACCTGAAGATGAATATAACAGTACCAGAAGAATACATTCAGGGTTTTACACAAGCCAATAATAACTTCCTGTATCAGTTAGTCTTTGATCCTATCAACAGAAAATTAGTTCCTCTGAATGCATATGGTGATGATATCGATCCAGAAACACTCATTTTTGCAGGATGACATTTTGGTGATGGTACTGCTTTTCAAATTGCCATTGGCAACACTGATGTCAATACAATGGAACAAATTGATAACTATAACAATGACACTGCACAGCCTGCGCAGCAGAGAAGTCATGGCTGGGATGACAGACATGCTAATCATGTAAACAGCATTTGGAGCAGAGACTACAAGCTTGGCCCTAATGCAGATACCGTTAATCATAAAATGCATTTACCAGAGAAACCAGCCACCAGAGGCATGGAGAAGATAATTAGTGTTAAAGGGCTAAAACTTCCAGGCAGAGAGCTCTTGGCAAAAAGGCCAAGGAGTGATTTAGGAGAAATCTCAGATGGAGACCTGTTGAACCAATAGTCATTTTCAAAAGCAAAAAAATTCAAGGAGGAGAATGATGATGATGGTCAAGCACAAAAGAACGTCTCAACAATACAAAGCCTTGATTCTCCAGGGAATTTTGTCACTCAAGAAAGCTCTAACTCCCTGCCTAGAGTTAGAAATAAATTTGCTTCCTTTCTACAAAGGAAAAAAAAAGACAAGGATGCTGTAATTGTTCCAGGAACAAAAAGCAGGTTTTTCTGCAATGATGTAATTATGTTTGATGGTAGAGCAAAGAAGGATGACAGTGATCTAACTCAAGACGCTGAGCGGGACTGCCAGCAACAGGAAGTAAAACATGCAGCAGAATATGTTTCTCGATTTTCAGAAACTGAAAAATCAACAAGGACTATCTTTACACCTCCTGGAGAAACGCAGAAAAGTTGCTTCCAGTGGTTTAGCAGCCTCATAAATAATTCAGGAAATCCTGGTCCATCTCATAGTGTATTTTCACAGCAACACCAACAGAGAAACAACTGTGTGGTATCCCAGGAAGATCTGATTAATGGGGTACAAACAGAGAGTGGGGCAGTATGTGGCGAACTGGAGGACGAATCCTCTCCCTTAACAGAACTGGAACAGTCATCACATTCTCAAAGGTCTTGTGAGCCATCAGAATGCAGTTTGGAGTCTTCAGAAGTACCTCAAGAGTCTAACATCAGTTCAGATGAAGAATCGGGCTCCAATTCAAAACTGACTGATGTTCAATGTACTCGGTCTGCAGTATTTTCTGCTGTTCAAACTGACAGGAAAAACGCTAACATAAAGACCAAAGTTCCTGGTTTATGTAAATCCAGTTACATAGGGTCACGTATTGTAACAAAGCTCAAGCCATTGATACCAGCTAAAGTAAGCAGATTCAGATGCAGCAGGAAAATGTCACCTGTGCAGAAGAGAAATCACTGTGATGCTGAAAATACGCTGGGACTGCAAGCCACCATTAGTGAACTCCGGAAGAACTTCCACTTCAAAAGAGAGTATGAAAAACTTCCTTCTTGTAAAAAGTCAGATCTGTTGTCTCCAATCAAAGATAATACACAGCTCACTCCAGAAACAGAAGAAGAAATCTTCAATCATTTGGAACGTAGTCATGTTCAGAGAGCTGTATTTCCAATGAACCGTACAATGTGCACAAGACGATGCATTTTTAATCACTGTCAAAATTTACCTTCTGGATATTTCATCAATATAGAAAAGATGCTTTGAAAATGGACTATATATTTTAGTCTGAGTGATTGATCATCTGTTTTATAAAAGCGTGAATTGAAAGGTACAGTTCTATACTAATGAATAAAAATCCTTCAGATGAAAAAAAAAAAAAAAAAAAATGAACA